TGCCGTTACCACCTAAGGAATCCTTCTGCTGTGCCTTTTGCAGCTGGACTTGTCTATCTGGCACTGGCCTCTTTAGCCACGAGCGTGTTTGTAGCAAATGTGGGTAGAGTCCTTCCCAAATCTTCGTTCGCGAAGCTTAGCCTCGATGATGACAATGTATTTCACAGTAAAATGTCGTGTTTGAAGTTCTGAGGAGATGGCAAAAGAAATGCATTTCTGTTGGACCTGATTCCAAGCTAACTGAGGCAATGGCAAGACCTCATCGATTTTAACAGACTTCAGATTGGGCCATTGGTATTATTCAGTCATTATCTTATGCCCTTACTGTGGGTTTAAGTGATACTACTATGATTTCCGCTACATATTGCTTTGAACTTCTTACCCTCCTGTTATAAAACAAACATGCCTTTTGTACAAGAGTACATTTGGAAAAGAAACTTGAAATCAATTTCAGTTCTTCCTGTCCATTTTCCCTGACTGATCTAGCTTTATTGCCAAAAAATTTAAAAGTTTCTGATCCTTCTGCTAATACAGGATTTCTAATGAAAACACACACATGACTATATCATAAAACCTAGATAACTCAAAGGAAAAGTCTAATAAAAGAAATACTTAAAGAAAGCCAATTAGACAGCCCATAGAAAAAATAGTTTGGTTATTTATTCCTCCAATCTCACTCATATTTATGTTGCTCTAAAACCAGCAATGCAAGTAAACTAAGGTAATAACAATACTCAGTGGACCAGTATAATTAAAATATTCATGTGTGATTATATTGCACACAAAACAACTTTATGGGAAATTAGTCAAAATGTTGTCCTATGCTATTATGTCACAAAGACTCTCTTGCGTTAAATGGCAGCCTGAAAAGACTCAGCTCTTTTTTAAAAAAAAGAATTCTGTTTGCAAAATTATGACTGATTTTCTTTTTAATCTTAAACTGCTTTCCTGAAGTAAATATACTAATCTTTTCATTAGAAATAAGCTGCACTGAGACACTATCCCAATTTCAAAATATTTACAGATGTGTTTAGAATTTGAAGACCCAGTGACTAAGAAGAAGAAAGTGGGCAGAAAAGAGAATGGACAAGAAAAATATGGTCGGTTACAAAGGATTTTCAAGGAAGAAACTAGAATAACAGAACAAACAAATAAAGAAAATGTCTAACAATAAAAAAATGTCTAGCCACTTTGTAAAACACAGTTGGCAAAGATTAAAACTTCTTGTGAGAGAAATATCAATGAAACTTCGAATTTAATAAAATTTGAGAAAAAGTGTTTATGTGGTCAAAACAACCTATATGGACATTTTCAGAATAAAGTTTCTATTCCTCATTTAAGATAAAATCTATTTTGGAATTGTATTTTTCCTGTCTCAAGAAAAGGAAGGGGAGATTACATGAGATCAAAAATACCACAAACTTTTCAAATCCCAAGAGTTAGTTCCCTCTGGCACTAATTAACTGTGCCAATTAGGGCTCCACGAGTCCTTTCTTCAGGTGAAAGGATGAAAAACCTTGTAACTTCATACCCTTTCACAATGAGAAAACTGTTTTTCTCCTGCCTTACTTTAGAGCAGAGATATCCAAGGAAGGACTTTGTGAAATGTTTGGGTTGTTGCCAGCACTGCTCAGAATAGGTGCTGCTTTTACTCCCTTAGCTCCTGAACCTGAGTGTTTAGGATACCTCTCACCTCCTGGAACAAAGGCTTCTGTAATGACACACATGCAGCCACAGTCTCTTAACCTTCATTTTCTCCAAAACCTGTCTGTACATTAGAGCTACACCTGCCCTGGTCGTATGCTACATCCCTCCATGGTGCGGAGAGGAAGTAAGAGAAGCTTAGTTATGAACCTGACTCTGGGCTAAGCTCATGAGGAATCCTAATTTCAATATGAGATAGGAGAACACAGATGGGAAGGGGCAGTCATGGGGCCTTACGGTAGCATCACCTTCCAGTAGCACTCAGGCCTTCATAAAACATGATACAGTGACACTGCTAAATGTGAGCTTCAACATCCAGTAGAAGAGGACATTCCAGGAAAAACACAGCTTTCTGAAAAATAGCCCTGAAGGAAAGGAAAGAGATTAGCTGAAGGCAGGCAAAGGCAGGGACATGAGCAACCATAGATGACTCACTGTGATCCAATGAACTCATGCATGTTTCAAATGGTTATGTCACACTGCTCTATAATATTGCTTTAAATAAGTAATTAAAATGGAAAATAAAGGTTACTTAAATGTTAGGTGAAAGTTTTTTTGGAAAACACATAACTCGTTAGTAAAACTGAAAGTCACGTTTCTTAAAGAGTGTCATAATTTCTTTTTTAAACGAAATTTAAATGAATAAATATAATGAAAAAGTTTTTACCAAATGTAGCTATGCTGCTAGACAGAGAGAACTGAGAAATATTCTACTGTTCTGTGGCAAAGATTTTTTACTTTCAACACCTAAATTAATGATTGAAAGCATTTACTAGTCAAATTAAAGGCATTTTTCAAGTCACTTTTGTCTCAACTGGTAAAGACCATGATTCCTTACGAAAAAAGCAGTAGCTTCAGCTGCAAAAGTGAAAGTGACATTTGGTGAATTTAATGAGCCAATGGATTGTCTCGAACATTAAAAAAACAAACAAACAAACAACTTCATGTGTCACTATTTTGATAATTAACCCCAGAATAAGAAGGGAAATTCAGGATCCTTGCTCTATATTTTGGTGCCCAACAAATAAGCAGAATGGGCTATTTTGAAAAAATTTTCAATCGTGTTCTGCATTGTCTGGAAATTTGTTTGTTCCATGACATTTAACTTCTTTCTACTTTTTCCAGGACAAATGCTATTCTCAGGGATGGCTGCATCAAAACAAATGACAGTGAAAACATATGCAACACCTTATGTGCATCTTTGTTGACCTGGTAATCATAAAATGCATAACACTAAGTAGTACACCCTGTGTATCAGAAAATAGCTTTTCTGTTATGAACTGGCCATGCTTAAGAGGGCAATAGTCACAAGTCACAACGTTAGTGTCTAAGTGATAGTGCTAAAACAATATATTGTCAAATACTTGAGTCACATATATTTGTACACCAGTTTGAAATAACCCAAGAGAGAAAAATAATATGCTGGGATAAACAGGATAAGGATATATTGCTAAAACACAGGCCTCCCAAAACAGACTTCAAAGCTGCAGTGCTCACTTCGACTTCCAAACACCAGCATGAACTGTATCAGGTGAATTAGATACAGAGGAACTTTATTATAACCACACTTCACATGGCTGGAGCCAGCCCCTCACATTCAGAGAAACTTCCAAGCAGTTGATGATGAACAAAAGGAGGGGAAGAAACAGAATCATAGAATCATAGAATCATAGAATCATAGAATCATAGAATCAGCCGAGTTGGAAAAGACCTCTGAGATCATCAAGTCCAACTCTTGCTGGTGAAGGGAATGAGGAAGGCAAATCAGGGCTCAGGTTGTTATAGCTTTAATCATCTTGAAGGGCTCTGTGGAAGACAGGCAGTGACACTCATGACAATTGAAATAATTTTTAAACAAAGATATCTTGTGTCTTGGCTTACAGGCTTAGTCTTGCTCTGACCAGCACAAAATAGTCTCATCATCAATTACACTGTCCTCCTGTCTTGAATACCCACTACAGTCTGGAAAATTGAAGCTGATATCTGTTTCCATAGCAAAACACATGGTTTTGCCTTATCGGTTTGCAGTGGCATGGTTTGGTAGTAACTAAAATTAAATCATGCACAAGTAACAAAAGCAAGGTGAAAGTTGCAATTAAATAAGGAAAACCTAAGCTAATATAATTTCATACCAGGAGACCTGGAGGGTGTCTATTTTGTTCAGAAACAAGGTGATTTAATGACTTAACAGAAAACTTCCAAATTTTCAGATTTTTATGAAATTAGATGATGCCTGTGGCTGCCAACCAGCTGGATATAATATGCAGGCTAACTGCCAGCAGTCTGCTATTTTAACTAACAGTGCAGATTCCCTAGATTAGTAGCAGTATTATTCATTCTCCCCTTCTTGGATATCTTCTGCTTTACAGATCTGTTTCAACAACATCCAATATCAGGTACTACTACTTCTGTCTGTCTAGGAAGCTACAAGAGTTTTTACTAGAAAGAACGTGTCATCTCAGTCAGTAATGAAATGTCTTGTTGCTGATCTTCAATAAGGAATGAAGGGGTCACTGCCCTTAGAGTGAGTCAGCACATCAGCATGGATATTTATCTCAGACTAGGATGAGCCACTATCTGGAAATGTTTGCTCTTCACTGAACAGAACAGTAACTTGGACAACCAGCTTAGACTAAGTATGTAATTTTGATGAGGACAAAGCTAGATGTAATGAACCCTACCCTGTGTGAGAATCATAGAATCACAGAATAGGCAAGGTTGGAAGAGATCACAATGGGTCATTTGGTTCAGTCTCCTTGCTCAAACAGGGTCATTCTAGAGGACATGGCACAGGATTGCACACAGACAGTTCTTGAATATTTCAAGTGAGGGAGCCTACACAACCTCTCTAGGCGATCTGTTCCAGTGTGCGGTAACTCGCACAGTAAAGTTCTGCTGCATATTCAGGTGGAATTTCCCATGCATCGGTTTCTGACTGTAGCATCTCCTGTTGGTGCCATGGAGAAGAACTGGACTTCATCCTCTCGGTGCCCTCCCTTCAGATACTTATAGACATTGATGAGGTCCTCTCTCCTTTGTCACTTCACAAGGCTGAACAGGCCCAACTGTCTCAGTCTTTACTTGTCAGAGAGGTGTTCCAGTCCCTTAATCATCTTTGCAGCCCTCCACTAGAACCACTCCAGAATCATCACGAACTCACAGCAAAATCTGCCACTAAGCTGAGAGCATTTAGAAATTGTGTTATTACATCAACGTGCTGTTGAATGGTGCTATAATGTAGATTCCTGAAAATAACACTGCAATTTGGGACAGATTAAAACACAAGAACTGATATCTAAGGATCTGAGTTTCACTTTCAGATCTACCATTTGTAATGTCATCCTCATCAAGTCCTTCAGTCTCAATTCCATGTTTCTAAACTGTAATATATTCGTTAGTCTTCATTCATGACTTTTGAAAGCTTTTGTGAGTTCTTCAGATCATGTAAGGTGCTACAGAAAGAGAAAAGGAAATAGTAAGTAATTATAATTGCTAGCAACTGGAAAGACTTCGCAGTTATTTCTTTGAAAGCCCCAACTGACTTTCACCAACAAAACTGCATTTAAAACCAAATTAAATGCATCTTTACATTAGGTTCTCCTCAACCAGAGTTGGGGTTGTGTATTAGTGATTTCCAGGCCATTATGGCACAGCCTGGAGCACCTCTAATGAGATTTCTGTGTGCAGACTGTCTGCTTTGTTGGATTGTTTTCAGCTAGACTTTTTCCAATTACTTTCTAGAGTGTCGTTTTCTCATGTGGATGATGCTGGAAAATCCAAAGGCTGGTTTGTGGGGTGGAAGGGGATGGGAGCTGGGAAGTAAATCAGACTCTTAACTACTTGCATCACTTATTGTGCAGGGTTTAGAAAGGAGCTGTAATTTATCAAAAGTACAGAGGAATCAGAACTCCTTGACACAGCACATACATTTAGACCATTGAGACAACTGGAAAATAGAGAAACCAGCATTATACCAATGAACACAGTAGGGAGGCCTGTTTGATAGGCAGTGTGCATGTGTCTGTGTATAAGTCTGTATCATCTCCTCTCCTTGTGACTATCAAAAACTGCAGGCAAGAAAATGAAAAAAAGGATTGCTAAATATGTTTTTTATGAAAAATGAAAATAAAAATAAATTTGTTTTAATCCTGACAGATGTCGGCATTTTTTTCCCTTTAAAGACAAAAAAATGTCACTATCCTAAGAGTCTCTAAATTAGAGGAAAACCCTTAAAGCTAATGTACTTGCAGTTTGCAATATTGATTTTCAAAATTTGCTTTTCCACTGCTTTGTACTGGATCCACTTCATGAAAGTAAAAGTACTTTGAAAAGGCACTACCTATTCAAAGACAATTCAGTTTTTAAAGCCCAAAGAACAGATTAAGAGCATTTAGGCATCTTCTTTTTCCTTAACAGGAGCCAGATGCATAAATGTCTTTCCAAGTGTAGCTGCTAATTTTGACTTTACAACAGACAACAGTTTTACCAAAGTCACTAAAATAATAAAAGTTTGCACTTACATGCAGAAACTCATCTCCTTACTGTAACTTTAAATCAAACAAACAAACAAACAAACAAATGCAGATTCATTTAATGAACTTTCTTGCCCTTTTAAATATTTCACTTTTTTACGAGTTCATACGGTCATCAGAAAAATCTACTAAACCGAGTTTGGTGGTGCTCTATCTTGTCATTGTGTGAAACTGATCAAGACTATCATTGCAGAATATAACTTTCAGAAAGTAAATGAGATTGGTGTACTTGAGAGCGTTCATGCTTGAAGTAGCTGGACAAGAAGCAGGGGAGAAGACAACTTCCACTGAACATGCATTGTTTTCCCTTAGACTGCGTAGCTTTACTGTTTCCTTACTGTATGGGAATATAGGGAAATAGGAACTGGCATCCAGAAAAATGTCAGTATTGATCACTAGAGCCGGGGGATGACAGATGGCAGAGCTGACACTTCTCATTTTCTACTTTTGCTGGCATTAAGAATTCAACATGGAGAAAATGTTGATGCATTTTATGTCTCTTTTATATGTTTCAATCTACTGTAGTTAATGTTTGTTGTTTGTGTAGCAAAAACAGCCTCGTATTTTTCAGCTGTACTATGATCACAGTACTGGTGAGAACAGAGTGAAACACTGAAGACACAAATCCAAACAAGGGCCTAGAGCACCAAGTATTTCCTTCCAAACCACCTGAAACTTCATATGTAGGGTATTTTGGCATCCAGCATAGAGGCATACAGAGAAATTAGAGAAGATTTGACTAATCAAGGTGCCAAATATTATCAGCCAGCTTTCAGTCAATAGTATGCATAAAACCTTTTAAATAAATCTAATGCCTGGGTCCAAAAGCCCTGTTTGTTTTGCATAGAGCAGTAAGTGCATAGGAACTTAAGACCAGTGCATACAAGATGAAAGTTCTGCTGCAACCCTTCAGTTCATTAAATTACCTCCTACTTGCCATACCTGGAAAGATTAGCACTGGCTTAGGTGTCTTCTGAGTCATCGTTCTGAAGGATACTTTTCTCTTCCCTGAGTACTCTTTTCTTCTTTGTATCTTTCACATTTTCTTCTCTCAGATTCTGCAACACTCATTTCCTTCTTTCTCACCTCTTCTAGCTTCTGTCTACAGTTAATCAAATCACAAATTCTCAGTCTCTTTCTGGTACATGGTGAGCTGCCATCTCTGTCCATTCAGGAAAATGTAAATTTCTTAACATCCCTACAGAGAAGGAAAAACATAAAGATCCAAAAAGTACTTCAAGGAAAACAGGACCTCTAGACTAAGGCCAAGACTACAGTAAAGGCAGAAGGTGAAAAGTCAGCCATGAAATTGAAACCTAGGAGGAAATCCATAGTAATATGAGTATTCCTTACAATTAACCTGTGATTATCAAGGTGCTGAAATGCTTCACTTGCTTTTTTAATTTGTGTTTCTTCTTACTCTTTACACAGAACTAATATTTATGTGCTATAGGACTTAATTCATTAAAATTAAAGTCAAATGTAAATAAAGCAATTCCAACTTACTCATTACATGACTGTATTATCTGTAAATTTGTTGAATCCATCATCAATTCCTCATTTGTTACTTATCACCAGAATCTTCCCTGGGAAGCAGGCAAAAAAATGCATACACTTGTATTCTAGATAGACTTTGTAGCTTTAAAATCAGGTGAAGAATATTAAAAAGTGTCTAAGAACGTATGAAGGTACGTTTCACTGTCTCCAGAAAGCAGTGTTAAGTTCACATTCACTTTTGCTTTAAGGCAGTATGTGAGCAGCAAGACTGTGAAAGACACACGTATGATAACTTTTCACCTCAATACACTCTGCTTAAAGGGAAAGGCAGGCATCTCATATATCTTAAAATGTGAATATCTTCCCAAAACAATGATTCTCCCTGGACTTAGATATTTCAGATTAGATAAATCTGAAATCTGCTTACACTGACAGATTCATAGATGTGTAAGTGCCTGACACTCCTTTCCAACACATATTTATGTCCATTAAGTACCATATGACCGTGTCATAAGCCTAACACAGCTATCTGGGAAAGAAATTGTGACAAGTTCTAATTAATATACTAGAAAGTGTTTCAATCCCATCCATTATGTTGAGCACAGTAGATTTGTTGTGGGTAACATGTCACCTGCATTTATTTTCTCGGTGCATTGTTACAACTGAGATTGTCACTCAATTTCTCCCCTCTCTAGAACAGAAACAGAAATTCAGTGGAGGTGTAATTATCACCACCCCATTTCCTCTCATCAGGAGCATGATTGATTCTATTTGTAGTTTTAATATGACCAGGAACATAAATGGTGACTGAGATAAAAAGAAGAAGCACTTTCATTTTGTGTACATAAAGGAAATGTGTGCCTCCAGATAGACAATTACTGGCATAAAAGTAAGATATCTTGTATCTGCAGAACACCTACATGGCTGAAAAAAGTCAACATTTCACCTGATGGTAAAAATCATGTTTCTCAAAAAAGTTTTTCTCTAGCAAACATACTCTATTTTAGGGACTACAAATTACTTTTACATATACCTCCATTCACAGTTTAGAGTTTACTTGATGTGACCATAATGTTGTAATTATAAAGGTTTCAGGAGTACCCTTACAGAGGATGCAATGGATGGATGTAAAATATTTGGGTTTGTTATGGGTACTGGGAACATAAAACTTGATTCCAGATGAAAAAATTCAGTTATACAGGGTTCTAAATAATGGGCAATGTTTAGTCCAGTTAAATGATATTTTAATATCATGCTAACATATCATAACAGTTACTCTAAAAAATTTGGCAATACAGTCTCAATCACCATAACACTTTAGATCCGGATATTAAGCACAGAACTCTCCATTCAAAGCTCTTAGCAAAAGGGTAAGCAAGGTAAAACTAATTAATTTGTACTGAAGATGAAGTGTAAAGAGAAAAAATGAGATAATCATTTTAATTTGAAATCTCAACAGCATGTTGTTTCTGTGATGAAACATGCATGCAGGATATTTGAAGCATGTATTATTTATCATTCAAGCAACATTTTAGTCTTCCATAACTTAATTTCACAGTACTTAGAAATGTCTGCACTAGAAACTGAGATTAATCTGGTGTATAGTCATAATTTTTCCTCTGCACTCTCATTTTAACAACACTCTAATAAATTTATTTTATATTTGATTGGGACATAGAAAGAATCCATTCCTAATGTCATAAGGTTACCTTTTTAGCTGTGGCTGAATGGAAGATTCATTCAAATTTCAGTAGCATTTTAAGGACAGATTCTGCTTTTGCTTTTTACATCTGAATGCAACTTTTTGCTAAAGGGAAATAATAGCTTGCTGAAAGAAATGATAGACAGAACACAAATATTTACCTTGTTCACTCTTTCTTGCTGTGGTCTCACACCATGTAGACTTCAGGGCATATTTCTCCTTCATGTCAGGCTCTCAGGAGAGACAATTTGTGTGGTTTTTACTTTCATACTGATTGCCACTGGGAGCTCTCCAGGAAGTAAATTCTAAAGCTTTCCAATCATACAACACCTGTAGTGTTTAAAAGTAATAGGTTAGACAAGTACCAGCCACTTGTCACTTCACTTAAATCCTTCTTTCAAGTGTATCAGCTGGGTGTCACCACCTCAAGAAAGACAATTAAGGCATTTGCTTCTTCAGGGCTTGGTTCCCAGCAATGTAAGAGGGGTTTGCCTAGAAGTACTACTTATTGAGATCCAGATGGCAATCTCATTCTTGACAGAACTAGTTAGTACATGCTAAAAAATCGCCCCATCACTCTCAGGGGAGCAAGGCGGTACATAAGTGCTACGTGGCCACAGCTGCTTTGAGGCAGGACCACAAACTCATCGTGTGACAAAGAGTGCTGGATGTGAAGCAGTGCTTGTGCTTGAGTGACACTTCTATAAACTGAAAGCTCTCACATTTGCACCTACCTTGTCGCATTCATCCTCCACATCTCCCATTTTAGTTCAGCACAGCTTGTCCTCCTGAAAAAGCTCATAAAATTTATTCTACATTACAGTATCTTGCTTAAATCTAACACAGGTTTTATTTCTTTTCTAAATACAATACTTTGTGTAAATTGCCAAAAAAATCCATCATTCTTCCACGTAAAAATTATCTACCTGTACATAACTCCAGTAAGGCCCTGGTTGGTGAAGGAGCACCAAGCAGCAGCTTTGTGAGGAGCTGGAAGCCCTTGGCAGACAAGCAGGCATGGAAGGAGCAGTGCTGAGGGCAATTGGGGGAATTTTAAATGGCTCCGGGGAGCATGAGTGACCCCCAGTTGGGTGAACAGGATCGTGGCACATTAGTGAGGGCATGGCATGGCAGTTTGAGCAGGAAGGGATCCTTTCTGGCCATCTGGGAGCATCCAATAGAGGCAACAGGCACAGTAGTGGGTAAGGAAGAGCAAAGAGATTCTTTCAGCCCAATTTTATTAGGGCACTAGTTTAAGCTTCCTCAGTTATGGTGTGAATAAGTAGGACTTTCCTCTCATGAAGCCACGCTGGCTGTGACCAATGACTGTGTTGTCTTTCGGATAACACACCCAGTTGAGCAAGGGTAGCCAGTTGATGTAATCTTTTTGGATTTCAGTAAAGCTTTCAATACTGTCACTCACAGTATCCTTCTGGACAGAATGTCCAGCACACAGCTGGATAAACACATCATGTGGTGGGTGAGCAATTGGCTCATGGGTTGAGCGCAGAGGGTAACAGTGAATAGGGTAACATCGGACTGGTGACCCGTCACTAGTGGAGTTCCACAGGGCTCCATCTTGGGCCCTGTGCTCTTCAACTTCTTCCTAAATGACTTGGATGCAGGACTAGAAGGGATACTAAGTAAGTTTGGAGTTGACACAAAACTGGGAGGAGCTGTTGACTCCCTCAAAGGCAGGGAGGTCCTGCAGAGAGACCTCAATAAATTAGAGGGCGGGGCAATCATGAACCATATGAATTTCAACAAGGAGAAGTGCCTGATTCTGCACCTGGGATGGGGCAACCCCAGATGTAGGTACAGACTGGGGAATGAGATGCTGGAAAGCAGTGCCACAGAAAAGGGACCTGGGGGTCCTGGTCGATGGCAAGTTGAATATGAGTCAGCAGTGCCCTGGCAGCCAGAAGGGCCAACCATGTCCGGGGGTCATCAGGCAAAGCATCACCAGCCAGTCGATGGAGGGGATTGTCCTACTCTGCTCGGCACTGGTGCAGCCTCACCTTGAATATTATGTGCAGTTTTGGGCACCCCAATATAAGAAAGACATTAAACTCTTAGAGAGAGTCCAAAGGAGGGCAAAGAAGATGGTGAAGGGTCTTGAGGGGAAGCCGTGTGAGGCGTGGCTGAGGTCACTTGCTCTGTTCGGCCTGGAGAAGAGGAGACTGAGGGGAGACCTCATCACAGTCTACAACTTCCTCATGAGGGAAGAGGAGGGACAGACACTGATCTTTTCTCTGTGGTGACCAGTGACAGGACCTGAGGGAATGGCCTGAAGTTGTGTCAGGGGAGGTTTAGGTTGGATATTAGGAAAAGGTTCTTCACCCAGAGGGTGGTTGGGCACTGAAACAGGCTCCCCAGGGAAGTGATCACAGCAGCAAGCTGTGAGTTCAAGAAGCATTTGGATGATACTCTGGGGCACATAATGTGACTCTTGAGGATGGTCTTGTGCAGGGCTAGGAGTTGGACTCAGTGATCCTTCCAGCTCAGCATACTCTGTGATTCTGTGATTACTACTGTAGGTAGACAGCATGGTACAAACACAGACACGTAGCTCTGTAGCTTGTGATGTAAAGCTGAGTTTGATTCCAGTCCTCACACTATCAACCTATGTATTAAGATCAAAAGCTCTGCACTGATGTATGTAGCCACATGAGTCACACTTTAAACTGGAAATAAGAAATCTCTGAATCTTTTGCTAGCAGAGAAAACTAGATTCACTAGCTTTACAACACTGTCATTTAACATTTGTTTGCACATACACGATTTTGCAGGGGTTAAAAAATTAGTTCTTGATCATTGTGTTTGGACATAAAAATAAATATTCATCTAATGTAGCAAATTTCTATTTACTTACTAGGAGGTTTTACTTCTTCTGATAGCAAACATATTGTGCCGTTTTCCAGGAAAGACAGAAGACTCCTGGCTGGAGGGTATGGAGATGAGGACATTATTTACTTTCAGCTGGCTATGACTGCCTGGAACAACAAATCTAGAGCTGCAGTATAAAATTTCTGGCTCTTGCATGCCAACATGCCTTCTCTGGCCAATCTAGAAAAATATATCTCAACCGAGCCTAAATATACATCATTTAGTGTTAAGTTTGATAGTAAGTAGCATAACACTTTTTAACTAAAATACCATTATAGCCCTTACAGTTTCCTATTCATCACAGGGACTAGACCATTTTATTCCTAAGAAAGCATCAGCTTTACATATGCGCACACTGAAGAGTAGATTGTAAAATACAACAGGATTTGCCTGTAACCAGGTGCATACACAGAATTTCAGAGTTCTAATGTTGTTGGGAAGAACATGGGTTGATGGGAGAGAAAAACTGGGTCCCAGGCATGCCACATTAACAGGGAAGTTTGTAATGAAACCATGGACCAGTTCGAGCTATGGAACAGTGAAGATCTGTCTACATATTCCAGCATCCTTAAAGTAAACTCCAAAATCCATTTTTTGACAGAAATAAACACAAGTATAAAGGGAAGATAAAGAACGGTGTAAATGAGGATAAAAGAAAGAGACTGGGTCCCAGAGAGTGAAATCAAAGCTGAAGTATTTCAAATTTTGTTCTTCATTACTAATTTTGGGTTTAGAGATACTGGTTCTTAGAATTCCAGAGACACGAAGAAGACCTATACAGGGCTATAAACCTGTAAAATAAAAATACTAACCATAGAAATAGAACTTGCTTCATCTGGGTCAAAAAGACCTCAGTTTTGTATTAAAAAAAAAAAAAAGGCAAAAGCCCTGACTTATCTGCAAAATATGCTGAAAATTTTTAATTAAATGTTGAGTTAAATGTTATTTTTGTTTTTATAAATGTCATCCTTGAAACCTGCTTCAAATAAAGGTTACCGCTTGTGGTTCTGGGTGTGCCTTGCAGCATATGGAGCATATTCATATTCTAGCATAGCTTTTGGCTCAATACAGTGAAGACTGCATTAGTGATTGTTGTCATGATGTTTCTGTCTGCAGCATTAAAATGTTTTCATTCAAGCATTCCCAGCTATTATTGAAATAACATAATTTCTGAGTTACATGAACTTGCCCCTTGCCTAGGATAATAGGTTGATGATGCATTTCTATGAAGAGCAGTGTTTCACTATTAGCAGTAAAAATAAAAAGGCCTTTATAATAGACTACACTGCAACTTGTGCATGTCTCTCTGCTTTATCTTCCTGTTCTGATGTCGATGAGAAGAAACAGCATTTGTGCTGTAGTACTGTAGCACTAAGCAAATTTCACTCTCATAACAGCTTCTGCAGTGTTTGGCCATCAGAGAGTAGTGGCAAACCTCAGCAGTGCCTTTGGAAACTCATCCTGTGACTCTTCTCTCATTGGCAACTGCCTCTGTTCTCAGTGCCTAATGGCCACATCCCTTGCAGGGTTTCTGTAGAACACCAGTTGATTCCAAGGTAAATTTACTCTTTTAATAAAAGTGAAATTCACAGCTGGTGTAATAGTGAAGGACATGGATTGCTTTGGAGCAAAACATGCAGCACAATAGACACATAACATAGTGATTGGTTCAGCAACTGGGAAGGCTTCTGTTTTTCTCTGTTTTGACTACAGAAGGTGTCTATGATGATTACATTCTTCTATTAGCTGCCTCAGATAAACACCCAAAGCCTTCATAACATCTTTCCCACAGATGCCTGTGCCATTCTGTTCTACTCCAATCACAGATGCTAGCGGCACACCACACCTTGGTCATTTAAGGCCTTGAAATCCTCTTACAGCAAAAGATTAAAAAAAAAAGATATTTTGCAGTACACCTGGGAAAGATATTCCAGGAAAACAATTAAATTTTAAACTGTCAGATGGCTACTACAAGCCCTTCCCATGATCAAAAGATGTTTGCTAGTTTGCCCTTCTGAAAAAAAACCCCTGAAGTTAAAGTGAATGAAAACATATATGGTATAGAGCACAAGAAGCAGACATAGTTTTCTGATCCATAGTTTGTCATGAATATGTAGCAAATCAAATCACATTTCTGACAGTTCTCTTTTTATCAGAAGCTAGGACATGTGATGTGTTTACTTTTGCTAATTCTGACTGTATTCTGCCAGACTGTTCTATTTCCCATATTAAAGATCTAATTAAAAAGCGAAATATATTCACAGTGGAAAACTCAGTAGCCAATGAATTCAAATTGACAAAGAAAGGGCATTATAACTCAGGTACTGCATATTAATTAACCCTGAAACTTATTTTGGCATGGAAATAATAATATTGTACAAAACTGTGTTTAGGAATGTTGATTCAAATAAAGATCAAGAGTCCTTTGAAGGCATTTCTGACTAATATTGTTCACCTTGAGGAAGAATCCTCATATTAGTAAGGTTTTCTTCATAAGAATTTTTTTTAGAAAAAAAAGATAGATGGACACAATTATATGTTATCACAATTATTCACTCATGGATTTTTGTGAACAACGAAAGAATATGATATCTAAGATTTAATTTTTTTATTACCAGTCTTTCATGTTTTTCTACATGCAGATTTCAGATAAATTACTTTCAATTGGTACAATATGCTATTCTGTGTGTTTGAAGCCAATATCAACTTGATTTGACTTCAGAGAAATTGCTTAGTCTTCCAAATTTGCACTAGCTTTTCCTGCCTCTGCTTTTTAGTTTTCAAACTAGAGCAATCTAAATGTCCTATTAAGATATATGAACTACCACAATGGAGTTAAATGTGCAGTATATCTCAGGCTTG